TGTGTGGGGTCTCAGATGCCAGCTGAGGGGTGATGGGGCGCCGTGGGGCGGGTAGGAGTGGAACATGGCAAGTGGAGAGGAAACAATGAGGTAAGAGACATAATGGGCATGTAGGTGTGGGGAGGAATTTGAATATTCTCTGAATATTGGGGAGCCATAAGTAGGTTTGAGACAAGTGGTGATGTCATCTGGCATTCAAGTTTCAGAGCCCTGTGGCTCTTGTGTTGAGTTTGGGGGCCATGAAACTGCTGTAGGCAGCCAGATGGGCAAAGATGGTGGGCTGGTGGGCAGAGGCCTGAAGGTGGAGAAGCAGAGGGAGCCAAGAGAGCAGGGAGGGTCTGGCACGGGTGCCCTGGCCTTGGCTTCACCTTCGTAAGGGCCTGCTCCTGGAAGTATTTTGGGAATGTCAGGCCCAGTTCCTTTGAAAGCAGGCCACTTCAGCCTTCCTGTCTGTGGGGGAATCCTGGTCCTCACAGCTCCTCTCATCTGGGAGCTGATGTTGGGAGCAGCAAGAGGCACCCTCATAGCTGAACCCCTGCCCTGCCCAGTCCCACATGGCTCTGCCCTGTTTCCCTCCCCCACCAGCCCTAATTCCCACTCAGACCCGACCCAGAGCTGCCACCGTCGCCACTCCCGGGCTCCTAGCCTGAACCATCCTCTGCCCATGGAGTCCCCATTATCACTCTAATGACCAGTTAGGCAGGGAGATAATGTTCCAAGTGGTGGCCTGAGGCCAAAACTTTGGGGCAGAGGAAGAAAAGGAGGAATGGGTGGTCCTCCCACACTCCTCTCTGCCCTCCTGTGGGGGCAACAGCCAGACCCGTCACAAGTTGAAGGTGGAGGAATGAACCACATTCCCAAACACCTTCTCCCATGTTCCTTCCTGGGACCTAGGTGGCCTGCCCAGAGGGGTGCTCCTCATTTGTCCCACCGTGAGCTCCTTTTCCTCAACTGGTCTTTCAACCTTATTTGAAGTCAGGTGGGGTTGAATCTGGCTCTGGTTGTTGGGATGATTCAGGGCATGTAGACTCCCTGCCCTAAGCCTCCATCCATCTCCCCCATCTACGTGGACCCCCGAAGTGCCTTTCTGACCCAGTTTCTGTTTTGCTTGCTCTGCTCTAGCCACACTGGCCTCACTTCCGTCCCTAGAATCTGCCAAGCTCATTCCCACCCTCGCTGTTCTTACCACGTGGATTACCTCCCATAGTCCTCCAGGCCAGCTCCTCCAGAAGTCCTCCCTGATTCCCCATCCCACAGCAGTCCTTACTTATGCCCCTCCTGCCCAGCCTGACCACACTGCAAAAATTGGCCAAAAGATTGTGGTCTCCTCACAGAACTGAAGGAAGGACCCTAAAGATTCATCCTAAGAAACCTCTGCTGTCTGTAGGTCTGCCCCTGCCTCTTTGCTCACACCCTATCCATGGCTCTGGAGACAGACACCAAGGGCAGAAATCTCGGTTTTTCCCCCTTGTTTCCTGGGTGACCCTGGGCAAGTCACTTGGCTTCTCAGAGTGCTTGAATGTTCTGATTCTTCTGGGCCTGGTCCTACTACCACTACTAGGCTCTCTAGGGTCTGGTGCGGTGGGGGTAGGTGCTCCTTGGAAGGTCCCTAAGCCAGGGCCAGCTTGGTCCCTGCTCTTAATAGGGCCCAACGCTTAGTTTCATGCTGTTGTCATTATCTGAAAATTCTTAAATCTTAAATAGCGGGCCCCATGTTTGCATTTTGAAATGGACCTTGAAAATTATCTAGTCTATCCTCCCTGCCTTTACTTTTGCAAAAGAGGAAGCAAAACTCAGATGTGACAGAGCCCAGTCACTCGGTGAGTTGATGGCAGACCTTCACCCCAGATGGGTAAGCCCCAATTCTCTGGCCACAATTATTGCAGGGTCACCAATAAGGCCCCATAGCCGCGGGCTCCCCATCCACCTCCCTAAGTGAACCCCTCTGCAGCCTTCAAAATCCGCCTCCCTCAGGCACCACCCCCCTCCCCAGGCCAGTCTGCCCCCTCCAGTGTTCTGGAGCTTGCTCAGAGGTTTCCACTGCATGCAACTGGCCCCTCGCCCCCATCAAAGTCTCTCACGCTCCATTCCTCCTTCTGGGTTCTTTCCGCGGTGGGGGCGGGCGCATCTGGGCCCGGCTCCAGTCTTCCACGCTTTGGGGCAATAGAACCAACACGCGCCGCCACGCCTCCCTCGACCACCAGAGGGCGCCCGTGCCTTGGGCTTCAGCTTAAACCTTCCGCTGTGCCAGTCAACCGCCAGCACGTCTGGTGGGGAAACTGAGGGGGG